TTGAGATATCAAAACTAGATCCTGAGATGAATCCAATTATATTAAATTTATTTTATAATTCAATATACCTTTCTCATAATTTATAGTCAAAGCGTGTAAATATTTGACTAAATACTATTTAAAATGAGAATTTTTTTGCGGGACGGAGGGAATAGGATACAAAGTTGGAGTTAATTAATTTACACCATCAATAGTAATCTAAAATATTAACTTATCAAACACTTAACTTTTTGATACACTTAACTTTTTGATCAATCACCATTCACATATGACTCTCTGGACCAAAATAATGAAAATGTATATAAGTATGATTCACGAATGGCTCTCGATTCAATTTATTATGATATTTTTTGAAAACATTTATTTTTGATATTTAATAGGGCATAATTTGAAAATAAAATCTCAATACTAATTAGAAAACTACATTAAAAATTATACAAAACAAAAATTGTGACAACTATTTTTTATCTTAAAAATTTATTAACTAAACCATGTGAATAATCCCCCAAAAATAATTTCAGGATGAAATGATTATTTTTTTTCCCTCAATTCTTTGATATTTCATCTGTGCCTGAAAATGTTCTTCCTGTGCACTATTCACATAGTCAAATTTTCACTTTTAAAATTTTATTACCTTTACTACTCATTTCACAATAGACGTTATACACTTATACTCATTCGACCCTTGTTTGGTACTTAGTACAATTTTGAATCTAGTTTTGAAATTGAATGTATATGTTTTATTTTATAATTTTATGTCCACGATCAGATAAATTAAATTATAAATAAAGTACATCAAATATCACAGCGCGCAATGAGAAAAACTTTATTAATTTAAGTTTCAAAAATTAGAATATGACCACTTTTTATCAACTTATTTTAAAAGTTTAATTTTTTGATCAAATAGTCCGTATTAATTTATTTCTCTCTCCGTCTTAAAACATTATTCCCGGATATTTTCCACGCGGTCAAACTTTAATCATTTTCTCTGCCTATTTTTGTTAGTTATTTTAAAAAATAATATAGTTTCGTCATCTCTTATTTTGTAGATTTTTTGATGTAATTTTAAAATACATAAATTTTATTTTTAAATTTTATAGCTACAGTCAAATAGATTGAATTAAAAATAAAGTCGGTCAAACCTCGTAAACAGAAATGAGGAGAACATTTTAGGACAGAGAGTGTACTTAAATTTATTACATTATATGTCATTAAATGTTAAAAACTCAGTTAATTTTTTATTCAATAACCTATTTACCATTGTACTTTATGTTGGACATAAATAAAATACACTTTATTTTTACTATTGTAAATTTATATAATTTCATAATTATACTGTGTAGTGTGTACTTGTTTGAAATGACATTAAGTTGCACCTAATTTTAGTTTCTTAATTACTTTATTAACCAATAACAACTCAATATTGTTTTTTGTAAGATAATCTATTTATTAAAGTTTAAATTACGAAGATTGCATTTTTGCTGAGTGGGGTCGCTCTTGATTATATAGTAATTGAAATTTTAAAATTACGTTAGGAGAGTTTTTAAAAATATCATACCGTCACTGATAGAATTTAGGATGGGGTATGGACAACTGGATTGGGCAATAAGACACTTGGGTTGAACCACATTAAAAGATTGAATCCAATCGATTAGTTAGTCCAACTCAAGAGCTTATATACCGGTTATTTTACTCTTGAACTTCCGATGTGGGATGCACTCTAACACTCCCCCTCAAGTGGACAACCGGGCCATTTTGAATCTAACCGGATGACCACTTGCAAATGAACTCCCATTCCCTTGATTTTTTTTGAGCGCCAACACCTAAAGGACCACGAGCCGCTGGGTATGGGCTTCCAGACGAGCAATCGTGTTAAACGGGCCACAGGCCGTTGGATACATACTCCATACGGACAACTGGGCTAAAGACAAACGGACCGCTAGGAATGAACGTCTAGACGGACACCTTGACAAAGGAGGTGTAACGACCCGAAATCCGGCTTAGTAGTTAGCCGTAATTTTAATAAAAATAAATATAATATTTAATTACTCTAAAATATGGATTAATTGTAAAGTTATCCGTTTTAGATGAAAATTGGGTTTTCGGATAGATCTCGAAAAATGGTAACCAACGGTATATAGTTTGTTTGATTTGGACTTATGTATAAAGCGTGGTGAGTAAAATAGATATTACAGTTCAATATAAGAATATAATAATAAAATAATAATTAACCTAATCCTACCCACACCCGTAAACCACATTCCCCTAAATATATACTCCGTATATATATATATATATATATATATATATATTAGCCCT